CGTAAAATGCTTCTGCTCAGGCTTGAGCGGCAGAGTGAACATGCGGCAAGATGTGAGGCCTGCTCTTTTGGGCAGCATAGACAACGCGGAGGAAATCATCGACATGTTGCTGGTTGCGGTTGGAGAAAATAACACGGCACCTTGCGGCAATTTTTTGCGATCGTGCTCTGAAAATATTTTGGATCCCGATCACTGAAAATACAGCTTCGATTACACTTCGTTCGGCGTAAGGCTCTACTCGAAATAATAAAGATGCCCAACAAGATATAACGCTATTACGAGCAATGATACATATAAAAAAAGCGGAGTCCACGCTAGGCATCATGAAATTTCGAAAAGCGATGCCATAGCCTCCTAAGCAACAAATGTCTCGGCCTCGGGACAGTCTCTGGCAATCTACGGGAATGTTTGAGCTCCAAGCGACGACAGCGACGCTCCATGGACACTTACGTGACCTTCCTGTTGGCACTTGTAGCAGGTCTTGTTCTTGTTCACAACTGAAGCGGTCTCACCGAGCGAACCAGGGGTTGCAAGGCAGTCCCTGTACAAGGTGAGACGGCGAAAGAAAAATGAGGAGCGTACATACCTGGCCATATGGTTGGGACCGCCACACCTGTAGCACTTTACAGGCGGCAAAGTAGCGGTATTGAGCGTCCTTCCGGGAGGAGGCGCCCGAGAGGCAAAGCCTCCCATTCCGTTTGCTCCGTTGGGACAGGCACGAGCGATGTGACCGAATCGGCCGCAGTTCTGGATAGAAAATTGGTGACGACTTGGATCAGAAGAACGGATGGTAACGTACGTAGCACTTCTGATTGCTGCCCTGCTGCTGGATCCTTAAACTCGGGCATTCCGCTGGTACGGAGGTGAGGCTTGGTCCCCTAAGACGGACCAGGGCTAGACAGACCTTGAATATGACCGACACCGCCGCAAGAGTAGCACTGTTTCGCAGAAACAGTACGGGGAGACGGACAGGCAGAGGATTCGTGACCAGGCTGGCGGCAATTGTAGCACAGACGTTGCTCCGAGGAACAGTTCTCGGCAATATGACCGACTTTGCAATGTTTCAAGGATGGCCCGTGACGAATGCTTGCGAGACTCACGATTACCGCACTTGAAGCAACCCTTCCTGGAATACTGGAACGCCATACTCGAAATCCGAACTTCTTCTGAACTGGAGAGGGGTAGATAGTCCAAAAATTAGCGGGAAAAAAGGACGAGCCAGCGAAGACACGGACCTCACTTCACCCACAGCCAGCTATCCGCTTACGACTCTGCCTCCTACGTGTGAAGACTTTGAGAGTGGATGGAAGAGATGTAAGAGTGATGACTGAGCCCGGGACGGGTGTGATCGAGTTTGGTCTAGTTTGGCATTGGCTTTGCTTGACTCTAACACTGATATCGCTACGCGCATCTCGTTGTACTGCAGATCTTCTGGCCCTTTTATGTCCGTGTCTTGGACCACCACTATGGCTCCTAGTGCCGCTGGATTTAGGCGGATCAGCTGAGCCGCTGCCTCGCCGTTATCTCAAATCAATCACCTCCATTCCTGGCATTTTGGACCTGACTCTCCAGTATAAAAAGCCTATTTTTTCCTGCCTTTCGACCTTGGGTTCGTTCCACCCCCACTTTCGGCCAGCTCCTTTCAATCAGTGTAGCCCCGCGAGGCTGGTTTGTCGAGGTCAGCCTCCTCGCTCTGCTACCTTGCTTCCTTGCTCACTCGTCGCTAGACCTCACAGGACCTCCCAGCGTTAAGGCGAACTTCGCGCGTTTGCGTCCATCGCGCTTCTTGTTTGGATGACGAGCGGCGTCCTTCGAGGTGTGTTGTCTCTTTCTCCGTCTTGTTACACGTCGTCTGAGCTGCTATTGCAGATGCTTCACCTCTTACGACGTCCTCTATCATCCTGGCAAAAGGCGAAGTAACGAACGAGCAAAGAATGGTTCAATGTATGGGAGGGGAGTCACTATAACAGGCGCTCCGGATGTGTCTTTCTCACAAGAGGCTTTATGCATATGTTTACATGAACTATCTTTCCGCTCTCTGGTGCTTACTGCCCATGCTCTTGTCTGAGTCGAATGTTTGGCGTCCGAATCTCCGCCCATCCATCATTTCGCGCCAAATGAATTTAACAACCGCGGCGTTGATAAACCCACCTGTGGCGCATATATCCAATTGTTCCGCGTGTTCTTATTCTGACATGTGGGCCACAGAGTCCTCTTAATTATTGACGCCGAAAGTCGACGCGTACGATCGAAAATGGCGAACCTTTTTAGGTGTCGCGTCTGCTTAAGCACCATTACCCGGTACCGAATCGGGAGGTCGTGGCTCATCGATCAAGTTCCTTTAGGATGGTATCTGCAAGTTTTCGACCCCAAACGACGCAAAAGGCAGCTCATCTTTCGGGGTACTCACTCTTGATCCCAAAAACACGTTCTAGATGATTAAAGTTGTCCTGTCCAATGGATTTGCACCGTTTGCCGGCGCGTACCAAATTACGCATCCGCCTAACAGCTCGTATGTATATCATGATTTCATGTCAAACCGCTAACTAGCCCCAGATAGCCTCGCGCGGTGCAATAGCGTTATTTCTACTCAGAACGATCCCACTTCAACTCCGTGTGTACAAGAGTGGACAACCTCAACAATCATGGCGCCAATCGCTCTACACTAATGGCCAGATGACCCGTCGGTGCTGTGTCAAGTCATAGGATGCGACAAGGTGACCACAGCTTCGAGATGCGATGACATTCGCGGAGGCAGAAATCTCTTTATGATAGCCACAGGTTCTTCTGCCGCTAGCCTAACAACCCTAGACCGCATCCGACCCAAACGATGCTTGCGGGGAATTGAAAAGCAAGCCAGAGTCATATGCACCTTCGGCGATTCTTGCACAACGCCACTTGCTATCGACCGATATCTCTGTCGGTAGTTTGTTTAAGCATTCGACTGGTCCCATGGACTGCACGAGTGAGAAAAACTCCCCTCGGAAGGGCTGGATCAGAAGCTGGCGACTTCGACTCCACAGTACGGGTCTCCGTGTCGTGGAGCTCTGACGAGCTAAGCCGTTATCTGCGACCATACATTGCGAATATGCGGGTGCTAGAATGTTCGACGCCGAAAGCGGGATGACACCCATGTGAATTGCCCACTAGCTCGCAGCCTTTCGGCTACATTTTGGAGACCGGGAAAATGCTATTGCGTCACGATGTCTGGTCTTTCAGCTCCGCGTCACTCCGAACGGTGTCGGAGTGTCAAGGACGAAGGGGTTTTACGGTCAGCATCTCCACAGGAAATGTATCAGCAGTTTTCTCGATCTCTTTTGGAAGGTTGCTCGTACGGCACATACCCAAACCTCGCATAGGAAATGGTAGTCATCGACTGATTTTCCAGATCTATCAAGCATCCAAGCTAATGGTATCTGGCAATCCTCGACAGGTTTCTCGTACTATTTGGGGGTATCTGCATTTGATTAACCGCAACAGGTAAACTACGTGGTGGACGTCACTGGTAGTCCTCAGTTTTTCTTCTCTCGTTCCTGGTTCCTCCACAGAATGAACTATACTAGTCGGCGGTGGTGTCGTTGTGTGCAGGGTATGGCAGCGGACATATGGAATGGTGGCTGTTGCACCGTTGTACTTGACAGACGAAAAGAATTTACTTTTCTGTGGCTGTGCTATCCCTGATTTGCGCTCTCAGCTGAGCTGATGATGCTCCAAATATTCAATGCCGTCGGTCACCGGTTCAACTTGGGCGCTCGAGTACGACGGGTATTGTAGGCCGGCTATAAACGGTGTGATGCAGGAAATCGATTCCAGACTCTGTTTGACGGGAGGTACTTGATACTACTAAGAAGGCTAGAATCCAGGTCGGATTGGGACCGGTTCCAGTCTACCGTTGACCGGGACGCGTGATTTGGAGGTTTTCAGTAAGTACAGCATTCCTTCTGGCTTGGGAGGCTTATAGAACACCTCTGCTTCCCTAAATCCGAGCCTCAACTACAATCTGTCGGCTCCTGATTAACACTCGAGTTGATATACCTTGCACGAAAGTGGAGTCTGCATATTCTGACCCGAGCTTGGTCTACACAAATTCTAGCACAGTCCGTTCTTACTCAAGGACCGCGTAACGACATGTATATTTCTTTTCCCTCGTGGTCACCCATGGTGATAGTTTATCTTTCGACAGCTATGAAGCTACCAATCTGAATCGCTGACAAACCTGTTATGGTTCTTCTGAAGTCTTTCAGGCCTGTCAGATGTGGTGATGTGTTGCATCAACCCACACCAGTCGACCACCCTTCGTTTGCTCCCTTTGGGAAGGTCCAAACGGTTGATGACGAAACGATGTACTTGATACTGATGGAAGGGTCTAAGACTCAAACCTACGTTAAGATACTGTGGCTATATACATAGCACTCTTTGTTCCGTAATCGCTTTCTGATTAACAGACACTGTTAGTGTATTTACTTCACATCCTATTTTTGCCTCCTGCTACTATCAGCCGATTGGTCTGGTCGTTGACCAGTGGACTAGTGACATCAATTTTCAGACTCGATGTACAGTAGGCGATCTCCTGGACGGAGTCGAACCTTACGCAGATTCCTTTTAGAGTTGTGTTATCTCCTAGGTCTCCCTCTCGCTATCTGCCTTCGCTGCGGATGCTGCCAACGCATTCAGGCAGGACACTCACCTACTCTTCTCGATATTTTCATTTTCGACGTAGTGTCAGGTACATAATATACAAAGAATACAATCGAAAAGTTGTGGTTTGTCAAGCTTCAACCAACTAACTACCATTAGTGATAAAAATCGACAAGTAGTACAAGACGTGAAACGCTTTTCAGAGCAAGATTCATTCCCAGAATAAACTTTTAAAAGAATGAGGCAAGAAGATTGAAGCAAGATATTCAAAGTTTTTACTGTTTCCAAACTCAGAGCACGACGGAGTCCGGACGTTAGGCCTGTGAGTTGTCGCTTCAGCCTGCGAAGAAGAGCAAAATAACTGACAGAAAGGGGATTCGAACCCCTGCCATCATACGATGATGAGAAACCCAAATTGGGCAAGCTTCTTACGTAAGAAGTTACGTAGTCACTTGAGTCACACGCCTTGGACCGCTCGGCCATTCTGCCCACATTTAATGTTAGGCAGAAGACATATAGGTCCCTACCCTCAAATGCACTAAAAGATAGAGAAAAATGCTTTTGAAACGACGGACTTCTGGGGGAGATGGAGACGCAAACCCGATCATGATTGATCGTGATCGTGGTCAGTCTCTGCGGCCCGATCATGCTTTCGCTACGTAAAGTGATCGCTTTTGCGACATCTATGTTCTTTTGATCACCGGTTTCGACGACAGCATTACAAGAAGGTTCTAAGGTATTCTGTCATCGCCAAGAGAGCCAGACTCTGTCCGTATGGCATACTCGTCAGAGGTATCCGCTTGTACCCCTCGATGTTGTCGAACACAGGAGTTCCAAAGGACACCAACTTCAACTCGCCGGCTTCAGTGATATTATCCAACACAGCTTGAATCGCCTTCTTTGCAGTATTAACATATCTCTCTTCCTTTGGTATCAGTCTCAGCCTCAGCGCTTTCATGATTCCGTACGCGAATCCAGCCGTGCAAGACGCCTCCAAATACGATGTCGGATCGTCGAGAATGGTGTGCCAAAGGCCGGTTGCGGGGTCTTGATACGTCACCAAGGCATCGATTTGAGCGACGAGAGAGGAGACTAGGAACAGCCGAATGCCATCGGTTTCAGGCAATTGAAGCATCTCGACAAAGTCCGGAATGGCTACTGTTACCCAACAGTTTCCCCTACCCCATCTTGCCCGCCCAAAGTGGTGTCGTCCATCAAATGTCCACCCTGTTCATGGATGTAAGTTCAGGTCTTAGTAGCCAGGACAAACATCTACCATGAAACCAGAGTCCAGTCTGCACGTCTTGCAAATACTTGATACTATAAATAGTGAGTAAATGCAACATCTCACGATCACAAAGGCTTACTGTAGCAAGAATTGACGCTTGGCTTCTTCAACGTAGGCAGGTCTCCCCAATACAAGACCAATCTTCGCCAAAGGCAAGACGGACATCATCAGCGTATCATCCCAGAGTTGCTGGTAGTTGTCAACAAGATACGTGATGTGCTGTAGACCGCCATCTTCGGTTCTGGGCATGTCGTACATCACCCATTCGGCCCACGAATCCAGGTGGGCGGGATAAGTAGCGTATTTCCTTTCATGAAGGTACGCGGCAGTCAACAATGGGGACATGGTATTCACGTTCTGTTCTAGAAGTCAGGCGAATGGTGTGTCTCGGTAACACGATTCACATACTTTGGTAGTTCCAATTTCAAAGCAGTCTTTAAACCATGCTAGGGAAATATCCAGGGCCTCCTGATCACCGGTGATTTCATGAAACTTCCAAAGTCCGTAAAGTCCTATTCTGTGTTTAGGTGTTCCGTCATTGATACAGGAAATCACTAACCAATTCCATGCGTCCACTAGAATACGCCAGTCAGAAACCGTCTCTTTAATAACGATGATCTCACCTCCCAGTCGTTCCACCCTTTCGTATCGATGACCCTTCCATCTTCTAAGGTCATGAGGAACTCTCCGGTCTCATCTTTGATATTCACTAAGCAATTGATGAGATTGCGGATATGTTGCACGGTTTGAACCTACACAATGGATGAGGAAAAGGACAAACTGCGGGCGATATGCGGACTTACCTTTCGAGGGTTAATATTTCTAGACGACATAGCGATGAAAAGGAGCGTTCTGGCTGCGGATCTCGCTTTAAAGTGTATGGAAGAACAGTGAAAGCGGGCCGCGGACCGCCAGCCGGGGGCATGTGGGGAAATAACGAGGTGCAATTGCGGGGCCCCGGACCAACGATCGACCTGCAACAGGTCGCGTACCACTGTTAGGCCAGGGGCGACCACATCACAGGACCTTCCGATCCCCTTTCATGGAACTGTATAAAAAGTTTGCTGATGCTTCTCAGAGGGTCCGAAGTTTCAACTTCTTCTCACTATGTCGGACGTGTCGGGGGACTTGCGGGTACATGTTGAGGATGTCGAGAAAGACTCCTACCGCACTGGCTCTCCTACCTCTGGTAATTACTTCTTACTTGACGATTCGTCACTGGCTAAACACTTCCTCCACTAGGCGCACCGCCCGCCGGAATTGACGCTGAGGTCGCCAACTTTTTCGCGTCACAGGACACGCCTGTAGTCATCGACGAAGCGACAAACAGGCGGCTCAGATGGCTCGTTCACAAGCGTGTCTTAGTACGATATTCTACATTTCCCTGCCTTCTGTCGCTCACTCTTCTTACCCGCTAGCTTGTCATGGTTGTCACTTACTGTAAACATGTTTGCTTCGTTTCAACGTATCCTACGCTTACATTTATCTTCAGTTGCACAAACACTGGATAAAGGGTGATTACTCGGCTACCCTCCGATATCCAAGCGCGTCATGTAACACTTTTTCATAGAACAATCAACTTCGCTTCGATCATGGGTATTCGGACAGACACCCACCTTCATGGCCAACAGTATGCCTGGTTGACTACGTGTGGTAAGCACTGTTAACACTCTGGTTTGGGGCAGTTTTCTGACTATATTTCAGTCTATATTGCGATGTAAGAATCAACCATATCGCATCTTTGTAGATGTGTAACGTGTATGTAGACTCGCTTGGGAGTTTCCAACCAATCGGCTCATTCAGCGACTCCCTATCGCGAAATATCTTTCGTTCAAGTATGTGTACCTCTTATCCCCCGTGTCATAATGAAAGCTTAGCCTCGCCGACAGTATCATGACCTGGGGCGCCGTTCTAGCCTGCACGGCAGCTTGTAACAACTTTGTCGGTTTGATTATCGTACGAACACTTCTGGGTATATTTGAATGTGTCTGTCAACCAGCCTTTGTTTTCCTGTGAGTTGGGTCCGTTTTGTGGAAGACGTGTCACTGACGAACGAAGGTCTACGATGTGGTATACCCGGGAAGAGCAGGCTTTGGTCATCGGGTCGTTTTACTCCATGAATGGCTTCCAGCAATGCGTCGGCGGTCTTATTGCCTATGGAATTGCCCAGATCACAGACGCCAAGATTAAGAACTGGCAAATACTGTTTACTGTACGCGGTCTCAGCTTTCTCCCGCTGTCTTCCATTTCTAATCGATCTATCAGTTACTCGGCTGTATCACGTTCGTATGGGGTATCTTTGTCGGATTCTGGCTCCCAGATAGTCCCATGCGGGCCAAGTGCTTTACCCCCGAAGATCGTATTCTTATTGCGGAACGCGTCAGGAAAAATGATACTGGATTGCAGAACAAGGAATTCAAGGTGAGGTCATCCTTAATCATCCTCTGTTGCGCTCTGAGCTAAGTATTGCCACAGAAACACCAAGCGAGTATGTTGCACGTATGCACCCATAAATCTTCCCGTCTTGACCTCCTTTCAATAGTCGAAGGCCTTTTAGATCCAACTATATGGGCTATTACCCTGATCTCCTTTACAAATGCTTTGCCCACTGGCGGTATTGGTGCTTTCTCGAACATCATTTTGACCGCATTTGTGAGTACTGCGTCTTGTCGCCCAGGTGGCCAATATTAACTGTTACAAGGGGTTCACGGTCCTACAAACATACTTGCTCGCTATTGCGCAGGGTGAGAATGACCCCAAATTTGCGTCCTACTGCTAATTAATCAATCGTTTGCAGGTGCCATTATCATGTCCTTCTTGTTCAGTGCTGCATATCTGTCGAAAAGATACAACCAAAAACTTCTTCTAGCTTTCGTAAGTCGCGGTACACCAATGTTTTGACCTCTATGTAACGGCTTCGTTTGTGAATAGCTATATACTCTTCCCAATATTGCTGGCACGATTGTATTTATCTGTGTAGAAACGTCTGCAAAGACAAAGGTCGGCCTTCTGATTGCTTTTTAGTATGCCTATTTTCTTGGTCCAAAATTGTGCGCTAACGATGCACCAGTTGCACACAAGGTTTCGGCGCCGTTGCAGTCTTGAACTTGGCACTGATGTCCGGAAATGTCGGCGGGGTACGTGCAGAATAATGCCTCGCTAAGGATGCGAAGTGACAGTATTCGTATAGCGGTCCAAGCAGGTGATCGGGTCGACGCTGGTGTTCATGTGAGCGCATTGGCATGTTTAGAAATAACTAGATACTGAAAACTTGCTTAGTGCATGGGCAGTTGGAAACGCCGTGGGGCCCCAAGGTGCGTTCTAGCTTTCTAGCACTACTATATATCTGACTATAAAGCGAGTCTAGTTTTCCGTTCTGATGACGGCCCTCGATATGTGAAAGCATGGATCTCCCACATGGTCATGTACGGGCTCCAGATCGCAGCTATCTTCTTCCTCCGGGTCCGGCTTATGCGTTTGAATGTCTTGAAACGCCATGCGCAATCACTGAAAGAAAGTCAAGCTAGCGGTGAAGATTCGGTACACTCATCTCAATCTCAATCTAGGGTTTGTGTTAACCATCTACTCTCCAGGATGAGCATCTTGCCCATCGACAAGCCTTTGACGACCTTACTGACCAAGAAAATCCCGACTGTACGTATCTGTTCAAACGCTGGTAGATTCATAGACTGACTTTCTGACACAGTTCGCTACGTCTACTAACACTCCTTCACGACACTCAACTGTGTAAGTGTTATGTACAATATTCTCAGGGAGTCTGTGTAAACAAGACGTATATTTCTGCTAAGTAGAATACATTGAGATCATTAACCCGTTTCAAATAAGATGGTACACAGCACGACTAAAAACTGAAAAAAAAGAGATCAATGTTCGGCATCTGGAGGTTTGGAAAGAGCAATATCAAGTCTCGTGGCGAGTTGGATAACATCGTGTTCAAGTTGAGAGATCCTTGCTTGCCTGTAGATCCAGTTAGTCGAAGAGTCAGAAACAGTTCTTAGCACATACTCAAAGGAGGATTTCTTCCCAAACTCAAACGCTTGAGACACTCCAAGGGTTTGATTGGTTTGAGCGTGCTTGGCCTTCCACGCCTGCTCTTTCTGCAGTAGTGACTTCAAATCAGGGAGTACACGAGCATACTCTCGCTGTATCTGCGGCGTCCAATCATGCTAATGAGCCCGTG